GCATGCGCATTGGCCGGAACTCCCCCGTGGGATTTGGAGGCGGAAGTGCTCGCCGAAGTTTATCGGCGAGTGGCTGACTCCCGGGCGGAGAGCGGATTTCGCCCTCCGCCCGAGGATGTGCGCGAGTGGCGCGAAGCCGCTCGCCGAGCCACGATGGCTCGTTGGTCGTTCCGGCTGGAGACTCCACGTGCTGGCTTCGCCGCCGTGGAGGCTCTCCAGCCGGTCATCGCCGAGTGGGCAGGGCGGCAGCACGGGACCCTTTCCTTCCGGCTGACGCAGGTGCTTTCCGGGCACGGTTGCTTCGGAAAGTACCTGCACACGGTCGCTAGGAGGGAACTGAGTCCTGCCTGCCACCACTGCGACTGCAGTGAGGACTCGGCCCAGCACACGCTGGCGGTCTGCCCCTCATGGGCGGCGCAGCGCCGGGCCCTCACTGCAGTCATCGGAGTGGATCTCTCGCTACCGGCCGTAGTACGCTCCATGGCCGGTAGCGACAGTTGTTTTACCGCGGTCGCAACCTTCTGCGAGGTAGTAATCTCGCGGAAGGAGGCGGCGGAGAGGGCCCGGGAGGACGACCTCCACTCGGACCCGATCCGCCGCCGGCGAACCGGGCGGCGGAGGCCCGCCTATCACAGCCTCATGCCGCCCTGAGTGTGACCGCGGGTGGACGGGGTGGGTTTCCCCTCCACCCGCATTAGTTGGCCAGCCGCGAGGGGGCGGCGTCCGCGTGTGCCGGACGTCGCCTAAAGAGAGGAACATCCACATTGAGACGGAGCCCGCACCAGGAGCGGGCTGGCGCTAGGAGGGGTCCGGATGTCTTAACAACAGCTGTTCCCGGATCCCTCCTGTTACAGGCGCAGAGTGGCACACCGTGTGGTTTTTCCGTTCCGTTCCGTCAAGTTTTCCTTCTCTTTGCAGTGCTGTTGTCCTGCGTAGTTTGGTCCCTTAGTCGGCTCTTACGACACCCACGGGATGAATAGGGGTGGTGACATTCCGTATTCTTAATCCGTCACCACACGGATAACGACCCTAACCAATGCTAATAAAAACTATTCGTAGCATACAATTTTTTACTGTGCAGAAATTGTTGCAGTCAATTTATGATGATTTTCTTATAATTTCAGATTCAAACAATTGTATCAAAAATTCTACAAGATGTCAAAAGTGTTCTGCTATTTCTTCAACAACGATTGGTATTTTAGCGATCAAAATCTCACCGACATGATATGCAGAATGTCGGGTAAAGATAGGGCAATATTCAATTGTGACATATTTACTATTGAGTTTGGTCAATTTATTAAAGTTATGGGCTTAGGCCTTAGAAAATATGTACTTAAAGATGGCTTGAGGGACACCGAAAAGGCATATCAGAGGCAAAAGTGGCTTTACGTGGCGAATATTATATTTATAACTTTGTTCATTTGTATTTTATATGCAATTTTGTATCTTTGCTTTTCGTCTATTAAATTTATTGTTTTTTAAAGTATTTTTTGTTTTCTCTCAACATTAATCTTTTTCATAGTCTTATTTCCTTTTCTATACATTTTAAAATACTTGCTTTAACTGACTGTCTGATTCATCAAAGCAGAGCCTAAACTGCTGGGGCAACAAACTTGACATTTTGGCAGCTGATGCTTTTTATGTTGTGATTCTGTGGCTTTCTCGCTCAATCCGTATTCCCTACACTGTATCTGTGTCTTTCATTCCTAAGCAGCCACCAATCACGTCCACGGTAATAAAAGGAAAAGACAGGCAGATAAATTATGCCACACATACATATACAAATCCTCGACTCGCGAATGAATCGCCTGCATTTTGTCAACTGTCTTGACTGACTGTCTGACTTTTAGCAACTGTTTACTTAAGAACGATTCTCTCTCTTCCTTTCTTCGATCTGTCATGGATTATAACAATATTTTTATTCTACCACTTAATCTTACACATAGTCCGCCAAACCGCTATTCCTTTCTCCTTGATCTCATTATTGTATCTTCAGCAGAGCAAGTGCCGAAACATGGTCAGTTCTCTGCTGATTCCCTCTCCTATCACGACCTCATCTTTCTGTCTAATTAAATTCGTACTCCTAACCCTAATTCCAATAATTTTACGGAGGATATCAGGTCCAACATGGAGGAACGAGAGTACACACCAGGTAAGTCAGTAACGCTTTCACACCGTTGACTTTACAACATATCTCCATCAATAATTGACTGGTTTCATAGCTACCTGCATTCTTCCATTACTCTTTGTAGTTTTTATCAACTCGATTAATTATTAACAAAGTTTTGATACATAAATGTACCTGGAGTAATCAGTATGAGCTCAGAGTAAATCCAACTAAAACTCAGGTAATTATAGTAGGAACGAACCTAGGATGAACTCCTTCATAAATTGGCAACAACTGCCTACTATATATTGCGATGGATCCAGTATTCCATATAGTGACACTGTAAAACACTTGGGATCTGTATAGACAAGTTCCTGTCCTGAGCTCCTCAAATTGGGGAGGATAGTCGAAAATTATTTGCTGCAGAGGGGTCATTGCGAAGACTTCGTAACTTCCTTTCCACCGATACCAAAATCGCCCTAGCAAAATCTCTTCTCCTTCCTATACTTGACTATGGCGATGTTAGCTATCTAGATCTCACCGAAGACCAATTGAACAAACTTGAGCGTGTCCAAAATGTTTGATTTATATTCGGTTTACGCAAATATGATCACATCTGTAAATAACAGCTTTAGGTATTTAAGTAAGTCGTAAAAATACCTTAGTTATTTATAAAGTTTAAGTCCTTTTGTTTTATAGTTTAGAATCTAATAAGATTATACCTCTATTGTTTGTATATACTTAGCTTCTATTCTAATAAAACTATGTTGTGATAAGATTATTTTTATATGTTTTGTGTATTAATGTTGATAATAAATAAATACGCTGCTTCTTCGAACACTATACACTATAACACTGCGCATGGGCGCCCTTGCGACGCGTCCGCGGCAAAGGTACAAAATGAGCGCGCCCGTGCCTACACGACACACTCTCCGCCGGACGCTCTCGCTACACATCACTTCACATCGCAGCAATTTCTATGCAAACAAGACTTTTATTTCAAAATAAACCTACGCAAATACAGCAAAACGATTTGGACACCTGCTAACGTTCCAAACAACATCTCTGAGTATCGCATTAAGCTCAAATGGTTACCTATACGCCTTCGCCGGAATGTTCATATCCTTTCTATGTTATACAGTATTCTTTTGTTACCACATTCACCGTCTTATCTCAAAGAACGTTTTGAGTTCTTACACAATTCACATTGCAGGCTCCTGAGATCGTCAGATAATCTGAAGTTGAAAATTCCCAAGCATACCATACAATTTAGTGATGAATCGTTCTTGGTGCAGGCAGTTAGACTGTGGAACACCTTACCCGAGGCATTCCGAAAAGCTAAATCGTTGCGATTATTAAAAAAACAAGTTTTTTAGGGTTCCGTACCTCAAAAGGTAAAAAAGAAACCCTTATAAGATCACTTTCTTGTCCGTCTGTCTGTCTGTCTGTCCGTCTGACCGATTTTCTCAGGAACGGGAAGACCTAGCAAGTTGCAATTTATACCAGATACTGAGGTCTATGGACCCTATTAGTAGTATAAAAATCAAGGTCCTGAATCAACACGATAAAAAGATATGGGCAAATTTCGATTTTCGCGAAAACTTGTAAGTACTAAAATTTACCTTAATTTTCAACTTTTTTTATTTTTCAGACTTTTCTCTTTACTTGTGGTGTGACTACGTGAAATCTGGGTAGGTACGGAACCCTCGGTGCACGAGTTCGACACGTACCCCACCGATTCTTTTATTGAATGCTTGTAACAATTTAATTGTTTGTTAATTGGTATGTCACAGGTTGAAAACGATTTGTGAATTAACCTTTATAACCTTTGTATATATTTATTTTTTATATGGATTTCTGTGTTAGTAGTATGTATATTGTAAGCGTATTTAGTATGTTCATTTTTAAATATATATTCATTATATTATAAAGTACACTATAGACTGCCCTAAACCCTATTAAACAATATCCGTGTAAAGGTTGTCTGTAAGAAATCGCCGTGAGCGATCAGACCGCCTATTGTAATAGCAAAATGTAGATGTCCATCCATATCCGTGCAATATATACTGTAGCGGTGTACAATAAAGATGAATAAATAAATAAATAAAAAAGTATTAAATTTAGTCTCGTTTTTAATCACAAACCTCATAGTATCACGTTCACTCTACTTTTTTTTTGTTGACGCCATTTTGTTTACATAACATCATCCAAGTGCACTCGAAAAAATGAAACTGCGTCCGAGTTACTATTGTGTCCATTAAATTTATAAAGTACATTAAGTCACAATTAAAAAAGCTTCTCATTAAAAAATATTATTATAATGTATAGGACTTTATTTCTAACAATTTGTAGTGTTTTTTTTATTTTTTGTAATTATTGTTTTTTTTTTACTAACATTAATTGATTATTTTGACTATAGTTTGACTTTGAATATTGACATTGCATGTATCACAATCTTATTATAGTAATCAATGATGCATAATATACCTATAGGTTATTTAAAGTTATGTTTAAATTATATGCAATTATAAATGTACAAATTGAAAATTGAGCACTCGGTGTGAAACGTGGCTTACGAGTCGCGCAAAATATTCATGACCTTCTGACTGATGACTTAAAGAACTTGAAATGTGCTAAATCACTTCATTGGAATTTAATTCATAAAGAAAAAACTAACGACAAGTTTTGAATATTCTTTGCATCACTAAAGATTGTTTTGTACGAGTTCCTAATGTTTTTAAATTAGTTATCGAATATTTATAAGGCGATGTCGGCTTATCAGTAACAGTACAGTGGTGATATAAAGCGGTGTACAATACAGCATAGGTCCTGCACAAGTGACACAACTGATTTCTTAGGCTCGATAAAAACCAGTGAACAATTTAATAAATAGTGGTCCCCTCTGAAGCTGTTTTACGTACTTCTAACTCCTTGAGGAACTATTCAGGTACCAATAATTTCTACTTCGACTTCAAAAAGGAGGAGGTTATCAATTCGTATGTTTATATATTTGTTTATGTATGTTAGGGCATAACTCCGTCGGGCACGCTGTCATCGCGGCGGTAAGACCCGTTATGGAGGATTGGCTCGAGAGGCGTCACGGAACTCTCTCATCCCGACTGACGCAGGTGATCACTGGGAAAGCCTGATTGCGGCTATCGTGCGGAGCGAGAGTGCGTGGAACTCTGCCATCCTTCTGCAAGCAAGTTATGCTCGCGAAGGAGACGGCGGAGCGGGACCGGGAGAGGTTTAGAACTCTCCCAGCCCGCCAGGCCCGGGAAGGGGCTAGGTACCGCAGGCGACTCAGGCGCCGGAGGTCGCAGAACGACCTCCGTCCTCCATAAGCGCAGGCCAGGGGGTGACAGGTGAGGCCATCTGTCACCCTAGCAGAAGCAGGCCGGGGTGGCGGCGAGCAGATGGAACTTATTTCTAATATTGAACACAACATACAATAAAATATTATCAGGTGTTTTTGCAATTATCGCTCGTTTAGGTATTCGGTTACTGAGTATATCATTTTTTCCAAAAGCCATATTTTCAATTTCCTTTTAAATTTCAGTAGGTTCAACGTCTTTATTAGGTGGCAAGCTATTAAATTTTTTGATACACATATTAAAACAATTTTTTTTGGAATAGTGTAGTTCTGGACACAAAATCCAGGACTAGTCTTTCACTGCCCCGAGTGTTGTGTGGGCATATATCTTTTGCCTTTTTAAATAAACTAGGGTTACTTTTAATAAATACACTTACTCGTACTTTAAAGATGTACAAACAGGGCAACGGTAATATTTCATATTTTCTAAAATAAAGTTTGCAAGATTCATAAGGAACCCGAACACATCTCTTCTGGGATAAAAACGCTCTAGTAGCATCTACTGAGTTTCCCCACAACAATAGACCGTATCTCAATACAGAACCTACGTGACCATGATAGGCGAGAAGTACTGTCTGTTGAGTAGCGGTTCTTCTTAGTCGGTTAAGCACGTAGACAAAACTATTAACCCTTTTGCAGACTGAATCGACGTGTGTCTTCCAGTTGCAATTTTTATCTAATAATAATCCTAGAAACGTAACGCATTCCGTTTCCTCTATAACAGTATCGCCATATATTATTTGTCTAAGATTTAGTTTTGATATATGTGTTTGGAATTGTATGAAATTGGAAAGATTAGCATCTAAGTTATTATTATTTAGCCATTCTATTACAGACTTTATTGTGTTATTAATATCAATGTCATAATTTGTACCAATTTTGGATGTCAATATAATTGAAATGTCGTCAGCAAATAATATACATTTATGAGTAGTAATGTCTGGTAAGTCTTTAATATAGACTAAGAATAGTAATGGTCCCAATATACTTCCTTGAGGAACCCCATATTTGTTGGTTAAAAATGATAATTCAGTGATCACTAGGGAGAGGTCCCTAGTGATCACTGAATTATCATTTTTAAATATATCCACACATTGTTCATCTTTCTTCAGGTAGCATTTAATCCATTCATGTGCTAGGCCTCAAATTCCGTAATTTTTTCATGTCAAAGAATATATTTAACTATTGTAGGTTTTTTTAGGTTTAAGTTTTTTAAGGTTTTAATCTCTGATCTCCGATTTCAGATCCAGTTCTGTTGCTCTAAAGTTCTATTGCTTTTTAAAAAAAAAGCATACTTATACAAATCATTGTGATCATAAAAATCATTCATAAAAAAATGAAATAAAAAGCAAAAAGCATTGAATTACAGCCTAAATCAAATATTTTATAATAGCAGGAAAAGGGAACGACTAGATAGGTGTCTACACTACAACTTATTATTACATTAAACTCAAGTTTATGTAAAGAGGAAAGGAATTAAAAATAAATTTATTTATGAAAAGAGCGTACTCCTTCCTAAAATGCCAGTTTGTGACTCCTGAGTTTCAGACGTTCATGGGCGGCGATGGTCACTTTCCATCTGGTGACCCGTCTGCTCGTCTGCCCCCCTAAGCACAAAATCATAGGATCTTCATAAATCGCCTTTGGACATCCTCAAAATTGTCTATGTATTAATTATATGTTGGATTCCATATCTGTGACGCTTACGCATACGTACAGTATAATTTTTTGAATGGTTTTGCTTGTTTGAAACACCTCGAAACACTCGTCACAAAAACAAGCGCTTAGGAAGTTGTTGAGACTATTTCATCAATCATCATCAACATCATCATGAACAGCCTTTGATGGTACACTGCTAGACATAGGCCTCTCCTTGGAAAGGAGCTTTTGACGCCGCTGGCTAGACGGGTCAGTATAAAGTTTGTTTCAAGTTTTCTTTTGAGAGAAATCGGAATGTCACCACCTCTCTTCATCCCGTGGGTGTCGTAAGAGCCGAAATAAAATAATATACAATACGCTGAGTAAAATATAAAATACGCTGAGCAACAGTTCTGCAAAGAGAAGGAAATTTTACACAAACCTCATAATAACCCGTCTGGCCAGCGTTCAAGCGGCCAAAACTTTCTTTCCGAGAAGATGAAATAACACTGAACAACAAAGCCTAATGAGAGATTTTGCCTCCCTCTGAATTTAGTGCTTATGTTGGTGGCTCTAAAGAACTAATAGCAGAGAATCTATCTTGGACAGTAAATGGTCAACCACTTTTTAATAATAAAGGAATACTGTGGACCAAACTCCCTAACGAAAACATCCACAAAAAAATTGCAAAATCTGTATACATTAAATCTTAAGTTGGATACGCTACAAAAATTTTAAAAGTTTAAGATAGAGTTCAAATTTTGACACGAAATACAAATCGATTCGAAGATGTTTTCATCTGTTTTTTACATTAGTTTTGTTCTTCATTGTGCTACAGCTACAGCGAAGTGTGGCAGGGTACAGCTAGTGTAAAGTAATTGCTTCAAAAAAGTATTTCTTCTTGTCTAGATATGGATAGAATACATAAACTCGAGCGAGACGTCCTCGGCCGCCAAAAGTATATGAATGCGGTGATAGAAGAAGGAAACTCTCCTATACAACAATTCTTCTCGGGCGCTACCATCTTTATTACTGGAGGAGGTGGTTTCCTTGGCAAGCAATTTATAGAGAAGCTACTCAGGTAAGAAGACTTTCTGACATTCATGATCGTATGACATGGCTACTAGCCGAAGTGCGCTCAAAGTTAGTCTTAACGCGATAAAACTACTAGGTGCTCTACTTAAATACTTTTTTACACTTATAAAAATTAAACCATTTGCTTTGAACTTAAACCTAAGTAAAGTGTATATTATTTTAAATAAAAAAACGATTGGATACGTCAAACCGATATACAGCAACGGTACAGCTTGTTATTAGTAAACTTTAAATGTTTTATGGAACGCAGCCGCAATTTCGATCTTGAATTTTCTCAGAACCTCAGAAAATAACAATAATGTGTACACTGTAATACTTTCACTAATTGTTACTAATTTTTTTTTTGGCTTTATGTGTATGTATGTATATGTGTAACGGAATCTCCGAACGAGATTTTGACCCTCTTAAAAAACGGTGAATTCAAAACTTATCAAACATCAATGAAAAAACAATAATTTGTAAAATTTGGCTGATTTTCTTGATCAGAATCCTCAGGATTAACGATTTTTTCCATAACTCAAAATACGGTGGTATCTTTTGCAACGCACTAAGAGGCGTGTGCTGAAGCATATGTGACTTACTTACTTGTTACTTTGTTAGTTTTAATGATAAAATAATCATCATTAATGACTAAAAAACCAACAATTTATGAAAGTTTAATAAAATCTGAAAAGCACGTCGTTGTAACTAGTCGAACTAAATAATTGTTTTTTTTATAAGTTTAAAAAGAAAAATCATTTCATCGTAAACAAGCGTTATTGTGTTTAAACTATTAATAATTTTAATTTATTTGTTTATTTCCAGAGCATGTAAAATAAAGAAAATATATGTATTATTGAGGCCAAAGAAAGGTAAATCCATACAAGAGAGGCTGCAGTTTATGTTGAAGGATCCTGTGAGTATAAATTATAAATTTATTACAAATAGAATATATTTTAAAACGAGGTGTTGGTCCTGTTATCTTTTTGACGATAGTTGGTGATGTTTCCTTTTCTTTGATTTAGTCAGATGTGATCATAGTAAACTATAGTTGTTGTAAAGCTCCGTGTGGTGACGAATTAAAAATTCGGAGTGTCACCACCCCTATTCATCCTGCAAGAGCTGACTAAAGGAGAAAACTCTGCAGAACAACAGCACTGTAAAGAGAAGGAACACTCTAAACAAACCCTGTTTTTTTTTTTTTTTACGTGTGGAAATCCCCTCGGACCGTCACCCCGCCGGGGTTTGCGGCGGGGTGGTGTGTCGGACTCGGACCGACTAAAACCACACGGTGTGCCCTCTTTGCGCTTCCAGTTTAGGAGGGGTCCAGGTAGTTATCGCCTTCTGGACCCCTCCCAGCGCCGGCCCGCTCCTGTTGCGGGCCCCGTCTCTGATCTTTCCTCTCTTTAGGCGACGTCCGGCACACGCGGACGCCGCCCCCTCGCGGCTGGCCAACTAATGCGGGTGGAGGGGAGAACCCATCCCGTCCACCCGCGGCCACACTCAGGGCGGCATGAGGCGCAGGTAAGCGCGCCTCCGCCGCCCGGTTCGCCGGCGGCGGATCAGGTCCGAGTGGAGGTCGTCCTCCCGGGCCTTCTCCGCCGCCTCCTTCTGCGAGATTACCTCCTCGCAGAAGGTTGCGACCGCGGTAAAACAACTGTCGCTACCGGCCATGGAGCGAATTACGGCCGGTAGCGAGAGATCTGCTCCGATGACTGCAGTGAGGGCCCGGCGCTGCGTCGCCCATGCGGGGCAAACCGCCAGCGTGTGCTGGGCCGAATCCTCACTGCAGTCGCAGTGGTGGCAGGCGGGACTCGATTCCCTCCTAGCGACCGAGTACAGGTACTTTCCGAAGCAACCGTGCCCGGAAAGCACCTGCGTCAGCCGGAAGGAAAGGGTCCCGTGCTGCCGCCCTGCCCACTCGGCGATGACCGGCTGGAGAGCCTCCACGGCGGCGAAGGCAGCGCGTGGAGTCTCCAGCCGGAACGACCATCTCATCATGGTGGCTCGGCGAGCGGCTTCGCGCCACTCGCGCACGTCTTCGGGCGGAGGGCGAAATCCGCTCTCCGCCCGGAAGTCAGCCACTCGCCGATAAACTTCGGCGAGCACTTCCGCCTCCAAATCCCACGGGGGTGTTCCGGCCAAGGCGCAAGCCGCCTCGGTGGACACCGTGTGGCTCTGACCGCCAATATCCTCTGGGGGCGCCAGAGGCGCGCCCTATTCGGGGCGGTCAGAGCCGCCACCCACACCGGTGCACCATAAAGCGCCATAGACCGGACAACCCCCGCGTACAGCCGCCTCGTGGGAACACTGGCCCCGCCCAAATTGGGCAAAAGTCGCCCTAGGGCGGAGGCAGTGTCCACCAGCTTCGGACCAAGCTGTCGGAAGTGCTCGTCGAAGAGCCACCTACCGTCAAGGACCAGACCCAGGTACCTCATCTGGGCCCGGACCGGTACGAGGACCGAGCCGACCTCGATTGAGGCGCCGGCGGGTGGACCACGACGGGGCCCATGAAATAATAGGGTCTCCGTCTTATCCAGGGCCACCCGCAAACCCAACGCCTCAATGCGCCCGACCACCAGGGAAACTCCCGTGGCGGCCAGGCGCGCCGCCTCCTGGAAGTTAGCCCCCCGGGCCGTGACTAAAGTGTCATCTGCGTAGCAGAGTACACCCAGCCCGGGGGGGAGACGCCCTCGTAGGGCCCAGTCGTATCCAATGTTCCACAGGAGTGGTCCTAGGACAGACCCCTGCGGAACACCGCACGACATGGCCCTGCGTCTCAAGACGCCATCTCGGTCCTCGTACATGACGGTTCGCTCCTCAAGATAGTCTGCCACCAGCCGCCTCAGGTACTCCGGCACTCCGTGGTAGTGGAGCGCTTCCCTGATGCAGCTGAATGGCAGACTATTGAAGGCGTTGGTGATGTCCAAAGACACCGCCAACACCACTCCGCCGCAGCTCACGGCCTCCTCGGTCACGGCCCTAAGGCGCATCACGGCATCGATCGTCGAACGCCCCTCTCGGAAACCGAATTGGGCGTCCGACAGATCGGGGCCAACCTCGCAGAGGTGCCGGACGATGCGGGCAGAGAGCACCCTCTCGAAAAGTTTACCTGCCTCGTCCAGCAACACGATAGGCCACTCTAAACAAACCCTATACCAACCCGTCTGCCCAATGTGGCATAGTAGGTCAAAACTCCAAACCTTCTTTCTAAGGATGGCTCCATGTCCAGCAGTGTTAAACTTTTGTTCGAACGATGAAGACATAAAGGATATGCACGTCACATCAAATCAAATGTAGCAATTACATTGTTTCTCTTGTATTACGGAATACAGCTTTTTCTCTAACATCGTCCTCTAAATGTAACAATTACATAATTATAATAACATTCGCAGGTTTACGATATGGTACGTAGAATACAATCGGATTTCGCAGACATATTGGAAGCTATAGAAGGAGACATTTCGGAGCTGAATCTCGGACTGAGTGATAAGGACTACGCCAAAATTACTGACGAGGTAAGGCATTTCTATTTTAATGTGGCTTTCATTGCTAAAGCCGCCGTCTACTGTACTGTAAGCCGTCATTTCTGCCCGTAACTGGAGTCTAGAGTGCCTTCTCACCAGAAGAAGAATACGCTGCAGTATTTTTTATTGTTGCAGTGTCACCTATAATGTTGTTTAGCTTCGCCTTGGTTTGGTGAACGTAATGCTGACTCACGGGCAAAATTCGGATATATAGCGGATAGGAATGCGAACCTCATCTGCTCGGACTATTATCTAGATTTTCCAATCCATTCGCAAAGGCAATTGCCCTTCCTACAACCCCCATGGCTTCGTATCTGTCTTTCCTACAAACAACCATCTTTCCTATAGTGACTAGACAACAGCAATAGTCTTACCGTATATAACGTATGGTGTGTGACTAAAATAATTATACAACTAAATTTTAATTACGTTTAGGTCGATTTCGTTGTTCACATGGCAGCTATAATTCGGTTCGATGGACCATTACGGGACGCCACATTGGCCAACGTTCGAGGGGTCAGAGAATGTGTGTTGCTGGCCAAAGCGTGTAAAAACCTCAAGTAAGTAACTAGTAACTTACAATAAACCTTAGCGGTTTTACAGTACCAAAAACCAATAATGTTATTGTTGCGCCATAGGATTGAATGGTTCGTTTTACACAGCCAATTAACATCGGAGTGAATTTCCAGTGCGACTAACAAGATATACAGTAAATACAGAAATAAAACCGAAACCGAAAACTTTTACTTATTATATACCCGCTCGTAACATTATGTTGTACATCGTGTAAGTATTAAATAAAATAAAATAAAGTATCATTATCTGTAAAAGAAGATTCTTAACACAGATTACATTTATGAGACCCTACTCGATACACAAAAAATACTTATGAGACCATCACCAGTTTGTATGACCATATGTTAGCATATTTGGGTTTTATATTTTACATTATGGTGTTTCAATCAGTAATCCATACTAATATTATAAATGCGAAAATGTGTCAGTCTGTCTGTTACCTCTTTACGCTTAACCCGTTGAACTGATTTAGATGAAATTTTCTTGAGGAAAGACAAAGGCTACTTTTTAACTTTTTATATTACTTTACACGGGCGGAGCCAGGGGTAAAATCTAGTATAAAATCTTTATAAATTTGTAAGTAGCATTGTCTACATGGCATTAAGGTAACAGTAAGAATGTTCATCATAGGTACTAAATAAATAACAAATTAACAAATAATAGAAATATATGAAGGTGGAGAAAGGGGAGTGGGAGAAAAGTTTTAAAGATATTCTAAAACTTCCATGGGAGTGCTGTGATTCGGCACGTTTGGGCCGTCTGGACAAGAGCGAAACCAAGGCCTCCTAGGAAGCCAATGTTAAGTAATTATTTCGTTGTTTTTCATCGAGTGGGTATGGTTACCAGAGCGCCAACTCCTCCTCCCCTAATTCTCAGGAGAGGTCACAAATGGCAATAACGCACTTGTCTAGTCTGCATTTTTGACCCCATACCACCCAAAAAAACCTACATAATACATTCACGTTTGTTTTCTTCTCTTCCAGGTGTTTCACATATGTGTCAACAGCCTTCACTCATGCAACTCGAGATCGCATCGGAACAGAGTTGAAGGAACAATTTTATCCGTGTCCTGTACCCCCTGATCAGATAATCGAGTTGGCCGAAAATGAATCTAAAACGGTGGAAGATATAACAGAGGAGTAAGTCTAAATTATTTTTTTCCATCACTTTCCAAAATTTTTCTTACCATGTTCTCACAAAAAGCATTATTAAATAATTCATCATCATCATCAACAGCCTTTAATAGTCTAGTGTTAGACATAGGCCTCTCCATAGTTTTCCTTCCCCTTGCAATGATGTTGTCCTGCGTATTTTGCTCCCTCGCCTAAGCTTGTTGCTCCAGGACTCCAAGGCAATCGTACTTGGGACTATTGAGTTGCAGGCGTCGCCTTAATGTTGAAAGTGATGACAGCATTGTCTAATTGTGTTTTGTATTTTTTTCTAGAATGATCAAAGGATGGCCCAACACGTACACCTTCACTAAAGCAATAGCTGAAGAAGTGGTCAGATTGAATTGTGGGGATATACCCGCTTGTGTCGTCAGACCGCCAGTTGGTAAATACATGTTATTTTTAGTATAAATGTAATGCTTGTTGCCTACGTGACTAATTTTTTTATTCAATTTACCCCCACTCCTTCTGCCGCCCTCGGTGACCATCAGTAGTATATGCCGAAAAATGCTCCTCCCCTCTAGTTTTCACGTAGTAATTAAAAAATATGGTTATCCATCATTTTTTGCGGCCAGAAAATTAAAAAAAAAAGACTTTTATTATTACTTTTATTTATTAAAACTACGTTTGCCAGCTATCATATTGAGTACTAGCTGGTGCCCGCGATTTTTTTCGCGTGGAATTTAAAAAGCTCTAAGGAGATCACCCACAATAGGCTGCAACATTTGTAGTTGAATACCATCATCACCTGTTGTCTTCGTGGAGATAGATAAGATCTGTTTCTTCGTGTCACTTTCTGCATTTGGGTTGAATGAAAATGAGGGACATTGTCGCAGAGAAAGACTAGAAAGGTGTTTAAGAGTAGCAGTTTTATCAGGAGCACCCACCAAGATCGGTGGCGTGGAAAAATGCTCATTGAGCACATTGAGATCTATGTTAGGTGCGCTGCCGTTGGCAATTTTACCAATGCCAAGGGATTTTAGAAATTGCCATACACAGGAATGGCAATTTCTGTGTGTTGAAATTTTTATTGAGTGATGAATATGGCTCCTTCTAGCATCTCGATACTGACGACTATACCGGTTCCGAAGTGATTTGTAGACCGACTGGTTATCTTCAGAGGGTTTTTATCAGTATTTTTGTTTGGCCTTATCCCGTTTGGGCATATATTGCTTGATTTTTTCGAAAAGCCATGGTGCAGGTGGATGTTTTATTCTTACTTTTTTAGAGGAGCATGTTTGGATTAAAGATTCAGCAGGATGTTATTAAATCTTTCCAACTTAGTATATTCATTTTTTTTTACAGTTGTACCAGCATATTATGAACCTTCTCCGGGGTGGTCAGATCTAAGCGCCATATATGGACCTACTGGTGTAAGTATACTAAAACCCAGATAAACTCTTTTGTTAATGCCTGCTCGACCGGAGTGGCGGCACTGCTTCACAGAAAACCGGTGTTGAGTAATACTATCGTTGCTTTCACCGAGTAAGTGACACTGTAAGTGGTTACATGAACACAAACTCCTCCTCCTGTCCCTAGTTCATGGGGGCGTATTATTAATACACGCTCTTTTGGTTAACGACTGACGTTTTATTTTTGCATCAAAGACATTACACAAATAAAACAAAGATGGCGCTACTGGTCTTACAGAAACATTTTGGTATACAATTATAACACCCCTACTTAACAAAATATTTCTAAAAAATAACTCAAGTAACAATTAATAAACTTAAATTTTAATTAGGAACAAGACCTATCATTCCTAAAAATTTATAATGCTTTGCTGACAATAAACCTTTGGTTAAGAGATCAGCAGGCATATCTAGAGTTGATACATATTTCACATGAATTACATTATCCTTTATAGCATCTTTAATATAATGATAACGCACATCAATGTGCTTAGTTCTATTCAGAGACTGGTGATTTGAAGATAAGGTCAATGCACTCTGATTATCACAATGCAACTTAACAATGCTTAATTTACCTGTTATTTCATACAACAGATTTCTTAAATATGTAGCTTCCCTAGCCGCCTCCGACAATGCCACATACTCAGCTTCGGTACTGGATAAGGATACAGTTTTCTGCTTCCTGCTTTGCCATGATATAACAGAACCAGCCAAAAGAAAGCAGAAACCAGTGTAGGATTTCCTGTCTAAAACATCACTTGCCCAATCGGCATCTACAAAACCTTCTAATTCTATATTATTATCTTTGCTATATTTCAAACAATAATGTTTAGTTTTTTGTAAATATTTCACCACTCTCTTAGCTTGATTAAAATGAGTTTCATTATAGCTATTATTAAATTGACTTAGGTAACTAATGGAATAAGCTATGTCCGGCCTAGACAGAACAGCTAAGTACATCAGACTACCTATCAGTCTTTGATAAGGAACATCTGTTAAACAATTTTTAGCCTTTTCAGGATTCAACTTACATTCTATAGGAGTATCAATAGATCTACAATCGAACATTCCAAATTTATGTAACAACTGTTCTATATATTGTTCTTGATCTATTTTTACAGTATTTAATTTTCTGTCTACATGCACTCTCATGCCTAAATAACGTTTTACACAACCTAAATCTTTTATCTTAAATTCTGAGCTTAAAACAGTTTTCAAATTATCAGTTTCCTCTTTACAGTTTGAAAAGATGAGAAAATCATCGACATAAACAGCTACAATTATTTTAACATTCTCACTAACTTTTGTAAATAAGCATGGTTCATTGCTACTTATTTTAAAACCCAATTTACATAAACAATCTTTAACTCTCTTATACCACATTAAGGATGATTGTTTAAGCCCATATATTGCTTTCTTAAGTTTTAAAACCTTGCCTTTATCTGTACATTCAAAACCTACAGGAAGATACATACAGATATTCTCATTCAAGTGTCCATTTAGAAAAGCAGTAATTACATCGAGATGAGTAATGTCCATATTCCACTGTGTACTAAGAGCAAATAACATTCTCAGAGTTGAATGTTTCACTACAGGAGCAAATGTGTCCACATAATCAATTCCACTACGCTGTGAAAAACCTTTAGCCACAAGCCTTGCCCTATATCTCAATTTATCGTTTACATCAATTTTTTTATTTAATACCCACTTGCACTGTACTATGGAGGTATCACTTGGTATATCAATGAGCTCTCAAGCATCGTTGTACTCAAATGACTGCAACTCTTCACGCATGGCCAGCATCCATTGTTCTGCTTCCGGTCCATTCAGCGCTTCTGAAAAGTCGATCTCCTCAGCACCTGGTAAATTGTTTGATGTACACATGTTTGAATAACCAAAACGGTTTGGTGGTCTTCTCTGTCGCCTATCTCTAACCGCTTCACCAACTCCAAGACTTTGAAGCTCACCTGTTGAAATATCGGTTGATGTGATAGAATCAGTTGAAGTATCCACATGAGTCTCATCTGGATCCATATAATCTGATGAATCATAACTTGGACTAGACAGAGATTCATTTATGTTAGTATCCCCCACTGAATCTCTGTTCCCTATACTAGATTCTTGCACATTATGTAGTGTCTCAGTCTCTTCTCTTAGCGTTAAGTTCTGTTCATCATTCTGTATCCATATAGCATTTTCTTCTGGATTTTCAATTCCATGCTTTCCTTCCATCACTATTATGTCTCTCTTTTCAGTGACAACATTTTTCTTCGGATCATAGACTCGATATCCCTTAACAGTATCAGAGTATCCAACCAATATGAATTGTTCTGCCTTTTTATCCCATTTCAGTCTTTGTTCTTTGGGAACATGTACCATCACCGGGCTTCCAAATAGACGTACATGGCTTAAGTCAGGTTTCCTTTTATACCACACTTCATAAGGTGTTTTGTTTACTAAGCTAGATGTAACACATCTGTTTTTCAAGTAAACTGCAGTATGAACGGCTTCTGCCCAAAATTTCTTATCAAGTTTTGCCTCAAAAAGCAAACATCTGCCTTTTTCAACAACAGTTCTGTTGGCCCTCTCGCTGACACCATTCTGCTCAGGGGCATATGCAGTAGTCCTTTGATGAATTATACCTTCATTTGCCAAAAAATTGTCTATAGCACCATTACAAAATTCACCTCCGTTGTCAGTTCGAAGTATCTTGATTTTTCTGTTTTGTTGGTTCTCAACCATAGTTTTAAAATCCTTAAATCGTTGAAAAACTTCATTTTTGTGTTTGAGAAAATAAATGAATGTCATCTTACTGTAGTCATCCACAAGAAGCAAGAAGAATCGTGAACCGCCAATTGACTTTGTCTCCATAGGCCCACATACATCTGCATGGACTAATTGTAGTGTCTCCGTGCTGGTATGTTCACTACGTGAGAATGGCAGCCTTGTTTGTTTGCCTTCACAACAGGTTATACAGTTCTCCTTCTTTGTGTCGCTAGGAGAAGAAAAATTCACTCCTTCTACAATGCCATTTCTCATTTTATTCAAATCACCACTATTGATATGTGCTAGGCGCCTATGCCATAACTCTGCACTTGCCAATGCTGTTGCTGCTGACATACAATCTGTCGTTTTTAAATTCAACTTGTAAACACCATTTATCAAATATGCAGTGGCTACTATATCATTCTTCATATTTCGAATATAGCAATTGTTACTTTCAAACACAACTTTGTTACCATTTTTTATAAGTTCACTCACTGACAACAGGTTTGTTGACAATTTTGGAATACACAACACATTCTTGACAGTAATCTCGTAGTTGCGATCTGTAGTTATTTTCACGTCCCCGGAGCACTTTACGGGTACCTTTGTACTATCGGCTACCGTAATTTCTGACATAACTGGCATAAAATTAGCGTTTTCTAGCCAATTTTCATTCGATGTCATGTGCGCACTCGCGCCGGAGTCAATATACCACTCACTTTTATTATACTGTCCACTCAAGAATACAACACTAAACGCATTCGTTTGTTTGTTTTTCTGCAATAACGGACATTGATTTCTAAAGTGCCCGATTTCTTTGCATTTGTAGCACGCAATCACTTTTCTCGACTGCATTTTAGACGCCATAGAAGTTTTTTGTTGACAGCCATTTTTATTTGGAGCGTTGTGCCACGACTTCGAGAATGATCTATTTGCAGCGAATGCAGCGCCACTGGTGTCCAAATTTAAAGAAACTTCCAAATCGATCAATTTCGATTTTATAGAATCTGTGGTAATCTGTATTCCAGAATGTTCAATTGCCATGATCATAGGAGAATACTTTTCCGGCAAACCTGCTAATAACAATGATCCAATCCATTCATCTGTTATGGCGAACCCGGTTCCTTTCAATCTTTGTGCTGTCTCGACGACTTGCGTTACATAATTAGTCATAGAATCACAGTTTTCTTGCCTGATTGAAATCAAATGTCGCAGCAAAGAGATTTTTCTTGAAAAACCTGAGTCATCAAACATATTTTTCAGCTTTGTCCACAGCTCAAACGAGGTTTTCGTTTCCTTGATATGAACATACAGCCCTGAATCTATGGTCAATATTAACTTTGCCTTAGTCCTTTCATCGTCTGCAGTCTTTGTTTCTGCACCGGGCACAGGCCTCTTGATGTACTGGATCATGCCCTCTAGCACTAACAAATTTTCTGCCGCGAAACTCCACTCGTCATAATTTTCCCTCCCTTTCAGTTTGGGAACACTTTGTATATAGTTTGAAGCCATTATCTACACAAAAGTTTAGCGTTTTTCTTAAACTGTAATACCAATTACTTAAGAAAATCAGGACATTAGCCCATAACCTATTAATACACGCTCTTTTGGTTAACGACTGACGTTTTATTTTTGCATCAAAGACATTACACAAATAAAACAAAGATGGCGCTACTGGTCTTACAGAAACATTTTGGTATACAATTATAACACGTATGTACCACAAAAAAATAGAACGTCACGCTAGAATTTATGGAATAGAATAATTTATTTCGTTTAACATGAGTGATATAGTCAAACATACAAATGCGACATTGGCTGAAGATGTTACACAAATGCTATGTTCTAAGAAAACTTGCAAAAGTATAGGAGCTCAATTATAATTATAGTGGAAATAAACATTTTCAAGTTGTGGCCAACCGCAACTATATCAAAATATATTATCTAATATGACTCACACATCTCACACACGGCCGTCTGATCCCAAACTAGGCTGAGCCCGTACTATGGTAACCAGACTGCTAATAAATATACTTATATATTTTAAATAGATACATATTATAGATAAATAAATTAATTAATTCATTCATTAAAAAAGACAAAATAATAATAAAAATAAAGCATCATGCATTATTCTATTATTTGATTGATTATTGATATATTCTATATTATTATGCATTGGTAATATTTTTTTAGTTTATGATCGGTGTTGGACTCGGCGTTCTACACGTGTTCCCCGTTGAAACAGACAAAACGCTAAATATAGTGCCCGTGGACTATGTAAACAACGCAATCATTGCTGCCACGTGGGACACGTGCGAAAGAAGAAAACATGGTGCCCTCAAAGAAACTCCTATATACTCTGTTAGTTCTACAAAACGAGGCTATGTGTGGGGTGAGTGTTTTTTAACTCAACCTTTAACTTTGATTAGTAAATATGAGTAAATGTGAAAGTTTCCTGATAACACTACAACATCTACTAGTATTTCCGACCCACACAACTTCATCGGCACCTCAAAAGCGAATAAATTTTCCCCATTTTTCCAATATTTTTAATTGATGCTCGGGTCCTATTGGTCGCAGCCTGATGTTATATGTTATATAGGCATTCCTATATAAATTAATAATCTATGGTTGCCATACGAACATCTGTGACAATCGTTACGCAATTTTCCAACTACCCGTAACGATCCTAAGAAGTCCGAAAATAATCTTTCTACAGAACTTAAAATGAATGACTGCACGAGTGGCGTAGTGGTTTCAGCGGCCACCTCACCGCTTTCTACTGCTGTAAGTGTTGAGTTAAATAATATATAGAGCTGAAAGCGGTGGGCCGGAGTGAAATACCGCCTCGATCTGTATTAATATAGTGTAATTGCTGCTTATTGTAATTAATTAAGATAAATCTATATTAATATCTATCCGTTTGGTAACGGATTAAATATACGTAGTGTCACCATCCCTATTCATCCCGTGGGTGTCGTAAAAGCAGTCGCATTTTACGACACCCACAGGGACGAAACTCTGCAGCACAACAGCACTGCAAAGAGAAGAAAAAATTGACACAAATCCTATAGCAATACGACTGGTCAGGTCAAAAACTCCTTTGTAAGGAAAGGCTATCAACTAAGTCCAGGGAGCGGACTTCTAAAGGCTGTTGATAATGATGATGATGGTTTGTTATCATTTCAATTTCTGTTTTGTTTTCTTTCTAGACTTTATGGCAGCAGTTATGAGAAGTGAGGACTGCAAAAGGCTTGCTTCCCCACTCGCTGTTTGGTATTGTTATGGAATAGAAGTGACCAATCCTGTCTTATACTGGTTACTAACCTGGATCCTACACTATATACCTGCTTATATGGCCGACATAGTGTGCGCCATTCTTGGCATTAAAATCAAAGGAATTACTTCGTAAGTATTTGTTTTTTCAACAATCTTTACATATTTCATTTACAGTTTTAAAATATTATAAAATTTTGTAATTATAAATTACAAAATTGAGACCGTGGAAGAGTTATGCTTGGGCATAAATAGACTGTCTCAACTGGTGTGATACGGATCTCACAGAAAAAGGGTGTTAAGCTGGTGATTGCTTTTCACAAAGTAAGGTTTCCGGAGTTTAAACCCTGTCCCTAATTCAAAGGGCGGCCACGGTAAGTAGTCACTTACCATCAAGGTAAACCGACTGGTCGTTCGCCTCCTATGACATAATTTTTAATAGAATACTTAACTTAATTTTTAATAGAATACTAACTTCTACGTGGGACAGCCATGCTTTGGCAAAAATGGGCCGGTTCCACCGGTGCGATACCACGGCCTCACAAGAAACCGGTTGTAAAGCAATTTCTCTGTTGCATTTCATCGAGTGAGTGAGGTTTCCGGAGCCCAACCCCCCTATATCCCCCCTCATGATAGCGCTGTTGAAAGATATTCTACCCCAGGGGGGTACCACCTGCGTTAGCGTTGGAGAATCCCCCTCTGGGCGTCCACGCTCAGAACACCATGCGTCTGGGCGTGGATGTCTGGACTGCCCCGCGTATTATGGGGGGGGGGGGCGCAACAGCGCTCTACAGGATATCTGCCCGCGGCGGGAGCAGGCACATAAGGCCACCCCTCGCCACGCTTGACGTGAATTTCTGCAACATGAGGAGACTTCACTCCAACCTCAACGCTGTCCACCACCACCTCGAGACAGTGAAGCTGGCCTTGCTCTTTCTAACCGAGACGCAGATATCATCTCCATCGGACACATCCTACCTCTCCTACCCTGGCTATCATCTGGAACACTCCTTTGTTGCTAGGGCTGGAGTGTGCGTGTACGTTAGAGGTGATATCAGTTCGCGCCGACTCAGCAATCTTGAAGGATCGGAACTTTCCATCTTGTGGCTCCGTGTAGACGGCAACGACCATCCCCGCGTCTACGCATGCCTCTACAGGTCCCATAGCGGTGACACCGAAACTGACCGACTGATGGACCACGTTCAAATGGCTACAGATTCCGTGCTGCAGCAGATCCCATCCGCGGAGATCGTGATACTTGGCGACTTTGACGCTCACAACGCCGAATGGCTTGGCTCACGCAAGACCGATCACGCGGGGAGATCTGTTCACGATCTGTTCACGATTCTGTTATGATCGCCGACACCTGCGCGCCCTCACCACTCTCTATTCCATTATTTACTCACCCGTTTCCCCCTCCTACCTGACATCTTCATTCCAATTTCTGTGCTCCAACCACGATAGAACCCTCCGGTCAGCTAACAATCTTCTTGTGCTCTGCCCCACTCATACTTCCGCTTGTGTCCACTCCTCGTTCCTAATCCAATCCGTACTCCTCTGGAATGCTCTCCTTCTCGAAGTCAGGATAGCACCCAGCCGCCTCTCATTCAAGATGAAAGCTAGAGCTCGCATCCTGGACACGCTAACAGATTCATCACAACCTTGAAATGTTATATATTATTGATTTTCAGGCTTATGTATGTATGTTGCTATATAAGTATTTGTGTATGTGTATGTATTTTGTACGTATGAATGTATGTATATTTATCGCATTACTTCTACCTAACTTATCAATCATTTTCTTTTACTTCTCCTATTAATGTCTAGTGCACCTAGCCACACATTTCAGCACCACCCTAAGGTAGACTGGGAGAAAATGCCTATGGCATTAAGTCCGCCAATGTACAACTTGTGCATAAAGAATAAAATTTTGCCCTGACCTATGGCTGGTCACAACTGGTATCAACGCCCACGCGAGTTTCGGATGTGGAAAGTCATGAGCCTTCACTGTTGGACTTTCTGCTGACCTCCGATCCGGACGGTTACAAAATCGCCGTTGAAGCTCCACTTGGCTCCTCGGATCATTGTCTAATCCGCAGTACAGTGCCACTCACGTGCTTGCCACGGCCGCGAGTTGCAGGCTGCTGCCGTGTGTTGCACTATAGGTCAGCGGACTGGGATGGGATGCGTTCCTTCTTTGCGTCCTACCCATGCAGGCAGATCTGTTTCTTGCCGGATGATCCCACCGTCGTTGCATTCTGTCACTGATGTAGTACTTCAGAGCATGGTACTGTTTGTTCCTTCTACATTAATTCCCATCGGTGGCAGATCCAAGCCCTGGTTCGACAGATCCTGCAACAAGGCGTTCCGCCAAAAGCGGGAATGCTACCAAGCATGGGCAAATGCAGCGACGGCATGCGATGTACATTCCAGCACGCTAAAAAAACAGTATAACTTTGCGTCCAGGTCCCTTAAAAGAACCATTACTAGGGCAAAATCAGAGCACATCAGCCGGATCGGTGAGAGACTAGTGAGACTTCCTTCTGGAACTCGTGCATTCTGGTCTCTTGCCAACGCTGTCCAGGTGAATTTCTGTAGCCAATCCTTTCCACCCCTGCAGATAGGAGATAATTCGTTGGCCTATGATGCCAAGGAGAAAGCTGATCTCCTAGGCAAATTCTTTGCATCCAACTCGACTTTGGATGACGGGGGAAACGTACCGCCGACCATACCGCGGTGCTAGAGCTATATGCCGGATATCCGGTTCACACAATAATTAGTGCGTAAAGCACTCTTTTCCCTCGACATTCATAAGTCGGGTGGGCCCGATGGAATTTCTCCTATCGTGTTGTGTCATCCCGAACTCCTAGAAGGTAGCGTTTGTGCACCCGATCCCTAAAAAAGGTGACCGCTCTGACCCGTCCAACTACAGGCCTATAGCCATAACTCCTTTGTTCTCTAAGATTATGAAATCCATAATCAACAGCCAGCTCCTCCGGTACTTGGATGGTCACCAGCTACTCAATGACCGACAATATGGTTTTCGCCGGGGTCGCTCAGCTGGTGATCTCGTCTTTCTAACATACCAGTGGGCACAGGCGATTGAGACCAAAGGAGAGGCTTGTCCGGTTAGTTTGGACATAGCGAGGGCCTTTGATCGGGTCTGGCATAAGGCGCTTCTCTCGAAGCTCCCTTCCTTTGGGCTTCCCGAGAAATTGTGTAATTGGGTCACCAGCTTCCTTGCGGACAGAAGCATTAAGGTCGTTGTCGACTGTGCATGCTCCGACTTTATATTCACACTGTTTTTTCTGCATATCAATGACATGTTGCAAACTAGTGGCAATTATTGCTATGCAGATGATAGCACAGGAGATGCCCTTCATACCGGCTGCCCCAAAATTTCTCGGGAAAACGTCATCGAGAGTCGAAACAAACTTGTGTCTGAAATTGAAACTTCCTTAGCGGAGGTTTCGGATTGGGGACGACTAAAGCTAGTCCATTTTAACAAAAAAAAGACACAGGTATGTGCGTTCACCGCAAAAAAGATACCATTTTTCGTATCACCTCAGTTTGAGAGCACCTCCCTAACTGCCTCAGCCAGCATCGGAATCCTAGGCATCGACATATCGAAGTGCAGTTTCGGGGTCACTTAGAGGGTGAGGTCAAATTGGCCTCGAAGAAGCTCGGTGCACTGAACAGAGCGAGGCAGTATTTCAATTCGGCCCACCGCCTTCAGCTCTATAAGGCGCAAGTCTGGCCGCATATGGAATACTGTTCTCATCTCTATGCAGGGGCACCTCAGTACCAGCTTCTCCCTCTGGACCGCATCCAACGAATAGCGACTAGAATCCCAAAAATCCCTTGGCGTTACGTAGGGTGTGGCTTCACTCTGCATTCTCTATCGCATATATCATGGAGAATGCTCCGAGGAATTGTTCGGACTAATACCAGCCGCAAATTTCCGCCATCGTTCCACACGGCAAAATTTTCATCCTTATTACCTGGATAGTTGGCGCTCCACAACTGTGCGCTTATTGAGACACTTTTTGCCCCGCACAACCAATCTATGGAACGGGTTATCTTCTGCGGTATTTCCGGACCGATACGACCTTCAAACCTTCAAGAAAAGAGCGTACTCCTTCCTAGAAGGCCGGCAACGCGTTTGTGACCCTTGAGTTGCAGACGTTCATGGGCGGCGATAGTCACTTTCCATCAGGTGACCCGTCTGCTTGTCTGCCTCCTCTAACATAAAAAAAAAAAACAAAATAATAATAAATTTCTAAAATATATCATCAAAATTCCTGTTAGCCTTGTAGAACTCTGGCTCTCCTGCGGTAAAAACAAATGGAAAAAGAAGAAATCTAATACGCCAGGATCTTTAAAGATTATTTAAAGAATGCCTTAAATGTTAAGTAATTTAGCTATTACCAATAAACAATCAATCAATCAATCAATTATCAATTCTCTGATTTACTAACCGTGATATGATAAATGATATTTATTTTCTGTAAGTAAATCTTTTCAGATATTTTTACAAGTCGGACTTTATAGCTAGAAGGAGCCGGCATTTCCTAAGACTCACTCTGGGAAGAATTGCCGAAATAAACCACAGAGGTGTCTTAAGTCCGTAAACAAAGTTAAATAAAACTGTGCGAGTACAGTATAGGGTCTGGATAGGCCTTTTGAGGAAAGGACCATAGTTTTGAGTCAGCCTGTCCATACAGATGGCATACAGGCTCCAGCCATCGTGTAGCCTAACCGATATTGGTCAAGATCAACGACCCGAAGCATGACACTACCGCCAGCAGGACATTTGGGTAGGCCGTGGAAACACTCAAAACCACCAGAAAGATAATAAAATATGAATTAACATTACAAGCCTATACTGTACTCACATTTACATACTTACACAAAAAATAAAAAAAAATACTATACAATTTAAAGTCAACGAAAAATAAAATACGGAAACAAAATACGAAATACACCAAAAAAAATAATAATTAAATGTCCATCACTTTCAAACTTAACAACAAAAATGTCTACGTAAATGTGGGAGTGAGCAGCATCAATCCCAAGCAAATTTGTCGTCTAAATAATCTGTAATAGTGTAGTAAGCCTTTTCACATAGTTTTAGCTTTACTAAAGACTTAAATTTGTTAATACTTAATTCATGGAATTTGCTTGGCTTTTTATTGTAAAATCGCACACCCTGACAACGAAAAGACTGTAAGAGCCGACTAAGGGAGCAAACTACGCAGGACAACAGCACTGCAGAGAGAAGGAAAACTTGACGTAAACCCTATACCAACCCGTCTGGCCAGCATGGTATAGTAGGCCAAAACCTCCTTTCTAAGGAGAGGCCTATGTCCAGCAGTGGACTAGTATAGGCTGTTGATGATGATGATTATTTAGTGTCATTTTTTACGTTATTAGTTACTTTCCTAGTTGCGTGTTCGTTGCTGCTTAGCGCTCGAGTCTCTGTTAAGTTTAAACATTTCGTATGTATATACAATTAACATTACGCAGCGGTGTCTAGATCAAAACTAAGAAGTATGTGTCACAAAACAAAAATCACGACCCTAAACAATGCTAATAAAAAGTATTCGTAGCATAATTTTTTTTTACTGCACAGAAATTTCAGTCAATTTATGACGATTTTCTTATAATTTCAGATTCAGACAATTGTATCAAAAGTTCTACAAGATGTCAAACGTGTTCTGCTATTTCTTCAACAACGATTGGTATTTTAGCGACCAAAATCTCACCGACATGATATGCAGAATGTCGGGTAAAGATAGGGCTATATTCAATTGTGACATATTTACTATTGATTATGGTCAATTGATTAAAGTTATGGCCTTAGGCCTTAGAAAATATGTACTTAAAGATGGGTTGAGGGACACCGAAAAGGCATATCAGAGGCAAAAATGGTTTTACGTGGCGCATATTATATTTATGACTTTGTACATGTCTATTTTATATGCAATTTTGTATCTCTGCTATTCGTCTATTAAATTTATTGTTTTTTAAAGTATTTTTTGTTTTCTCTCAACATTAACCTTTTTCATAGTCTTATTTCCTTTTCTATACATTTTAAAATACTTGCTTTAACTGACTGTCTGATTCATCAAAGCAGAGCCTAAACTGCTGGGGCAACAAACTTGACATTTTGGCAGCTGATGCTTTTTATGTTGTGATTCTGTGGCTTCCTCGCTCAATGTACTTTATTTCGAAAACGATTTCATTCCTGAGCAGGTGTCAGATAAGAGGCCAGCCACCAATCACGTCCACGGAACTAAAAGGAAAGGATAGGCAGATAAATTATGCCACAAAGTACATATACAAATCCTCGACTAGTGAATTAATAGCCTGCATTTTGTCGACTGTCATTTTAGTTTGACCTACGTAATATAACTTATCCTCAAGCCTACTGCCGTTATTTAAGCATATATATTTCTAAATACACAAACATTATATTATTTTATTTTGAAAACATAATCCATTTCCTATGAAAATTTACGATAGTTAGAGTACGTAGAGAGCGTACTCCTTCCTCAAAGGCTGGCAACGCGCTTGTGACTCCTGAGTTGCAGGCGTTCATGGGCAGCGGTAGACGCTTTTTATCAGGTGACCCATCTGCTCGTTTGCTCCCTATTCCTATATGTGATATATTCCTAATGCTGGAGTTGTCTTTAATATATATATTACATTTTCATATATATATTGACATGCCACTGCCATTATGTTTATTTATTTAAATTTCTGCCACCTTTGTCATATGATTAACAGGTGCGCGGCGCATACTGTGAGGTAGTGGGTTCTGCTATATTTATATTTGTAGTGAAACTAGTGTTGCGTTTTCAGATACTTTTATTACTCCTCGTTGTTAGTAAGTTGTGTTATTATTTATATTATAATATTAATCATGTGTGAGCTAACATCTATACACAAATGCAAACAGTGATTTAGATGACTAGTGAAAATATTACGGAAATTATAAAATTATCATAATATTAAATAATAAACTTGAAACAAACTCTACATCAACCCGTCTGGCCACCGTGGCAAAGTAGGCCAAATCCTCCTTTCTAAGGAGAGGCCTATGTTCAGCAGTGGACTGTTATATGCTGTTGATGATGACGATACGAATCAATAGATAAGGAAATAATTTGGAGTTAATGTTAACGAGGCGACATACATAGTTGGAACAAAACAATTTACGTGATGCGAGTGTAATGTGTTAACAAACCTTTGGAAAATCGAATTACTCGTTTATAAAACAAGTAAAATACGAGTAACTGTCAAGTCAAGTACGAGCAACATTTGATTGTCACTTTAGCATTTGGCTGGTCGAGGTGAACATGGTAGACATGTTTGTGATTTTTGAAAGATGGAAATGAAATCCGTTTCCATTTATTGTAATCAGAGGATTAATTCACCTTTTATTGTTGGCCAGTCTTGTTAAGGAAACGAGTTTTTTTTATTGGAAATGTTATTTTGCCTTTTTTTGGTAAGTTTTAATTCGCCGAGGTCAACACGTTTTTCGTACTTGGCTTAAGGAGACTAGTGTTCTAAATCTTTGATTATTTGGTTACAGGAATTATTAGTAATGCCTCTGATTTATTTTTGAGACGTTTTGGAACCCTGGTAAGTAAATTATTGTATCTTACAAGCTTAGACTTCCTCTTTGGAGATAGGGAAATAACCTATAATTTTCGTTTGTTGCAATGGTGTAACAGGGGTTTTTTTTTGTGATTAGTTTGGCTTTTCTTCTTATTAGATTGCAATTTCATTACGTTACAACTAGTTTTTACCTCACTACCTGCCTGATCCAGTGATTTTGCTTCGAAGAGTGGATTTCCATTCCTAAGTACCTCTAATGGCAGGAAAAGTCTTCTGACTGTAGCCCATTATTAGGATTCACTTGGGACAGGAACCAGGAAGATTGGATTACTTACCCCGCCATGACATCCACGTGGGGAACAAGAGTGAGCGTTTTAAAGAGTTAGTTTTACCATAGTTCCAAACAGACTGTGCCGGAGTTATTGGTATGTTCTTTTGTTGTTTATAAATTTTTACTTGCGTTGTCATAACGGAAACTGTGGGCTCTAAGGGGCGTTATGATAGCTACCTTTAGTTTCTTTATGTATTGAACAGTCTTTATGAGACTTAAAGATATTTCACTTTTAATTTGTATTATCAAGGTAAACAGATTGCATTAATGACAGTACTAATTTGAGAATAAGAATAACATTTGTAATTAGACCTATAATATTCCATGTACTCTACAGACACTACGGGATAGACTAGATCTTTGGTAACAGATGGCGCTGTTGCCAATAACAAGTTATCTCAGAGAGCTCTGTAAAAATATAAGTTTTAAAAATAATAAATGTGCTTTAAATACTCATTATTTTACATTAGCGGATAGATTTCAAACCAATTATTTAGTGTGAATGTTATCTTTTGAATAAAATAAGAATTCAGCAAAAAAACAGCGTGATAAAAATTAAACAGTACTCTCAGTGTGAAAAAGTGATAAATGACAGTTAATAAACTATAAATAATCTGAAGAAAGTAGTGCTGAAATAAAGTGATAAGTTGTGAACCAAATAAACAATTTTGGAAAAAGTGAATTAAGCTATGTTGTGAGAACATTTTTGCACCATGACTCATACATAACGACTTGCTTGAATTCAAATACATCTTGCGAGGAAAGTGATCTCTAATTTCAGTTAATCGTCTAAAAGCCTTAGATAGTCGATAGCGATAACGGGGCCCCTTTCAATCGCAAGTCGCGAGATCTAATTCAGCGTCGGCTTGTTGTTTCTGTGTTTTTTTTTCTTTTTTTTTAAAGTAATAGATTTGAAAATGGAGTTTGAAAACGTTACACTGCGTTCTAAGCGAAAATCTTTGTCGTATCATGATATATCAAATCTTTCTACTGGCTCGTTATTTGAAACAACGATACAGAGTCTACCAAATACATCAATAGATGGCACTAACAGGTGCTGTGAGATACTTAACGATCGAATATGCGAAATGGATGCGAAGTTACTGACTGCAAATAATGAAATAGATAATTTACTTCAAGAAAACGAAAACTTAAAAGTTGAATTGAAAAAGTGCTATGATGTTATAAATATGTACAAAAAAATATCGAACATCGACAGTAATAAAAAATCACAGTTAACTCGTAAACAAAGAAGAAATACAATACAAATTGACTCAAACGAAGCATATGACAATAATGTAATACGAGTATCATCACCCTTACCCGACAAAAATAAAATGAACTACAAAACTATTAAAGTAAATGCTTCAACACAAACGGTTGACGTCGACTTAAAATTACATAAAAAACAAATAACGTCTATCAATGTGTCACAGTATCATGAACAAGACAAATGTACTTTAGCTACTAAATTGGCAACAGAACGTGCACCAACAAATCAAAAATGTGACAGAAAGGTTATGAATAGCAAGCGCAAAGTATGTATCTTGAGTAGTAACAAAACAAACAAAGTTCTATCGATAGCCGAAGGTAAATTTCGGAACTCTGCGTTATGTCATTACTTGTATCCTAACTGTGGAATTGTACAACTATTTACTAATTTGAAAACGAAACTTTTAAACTATACACTAAAGGACTATTGTATTGTTTTCATTGGTGAAAACGATTTTCTTAAAACAAACAATTATTTCAACTTGATAATTTATGTACGAGACATTCTGTTATCACTACAACATACTAACATTATTATTTGTCTACCCACTTATAAATATAGTCGTTGCTCGGTGATGTTTAACTCGAGGATTGAAACCTTTAATAACTTATTTTATAATCTCGACATTCAAAATTATAATCATGTAATAATAGTTGACTCGAACTCTAATTTGAAATATGATTATTCTATGTTTAAATATAACGGTAATTTGAATAACAGAGGAATGAATAACATTTTTAATACTGTAAGTTATCATATGCAATCTGGCAGCAGTGAAATAATTGATTATACTCGTAGCTCTGACAACTGTAAGCATTCAAATTCTACGGCGTTAATAGACCTCTCAAACTCTAATCGATCAGATGATAAAGATTTTTTTCGTTTATAATCATTTAAATTTATTGCATCAAAATGTAAACGGACTGTTGAATAAATCCGATATTATAACAGAGTGTATAGATACTCTTGCTCGTAATGGTCAGATTATTAATGTTTTATGCTTCACTGAACACAATATGATGTCGGGTGACGTCGACTTTCTTAACATACCCAATTACAAATTAGCTACATTTTATTCTAGGAATAATCGAAATGGTGGTTCATGTATATTAGTGCAAAACTACTTACAATTTACAATTATTGAAACGGTGTGGAAATTTAACATTCCTAACATATTTGAATGTTGTGGAATAGAAATCACTCATCATAACATATCAGTAATATGTCTATACAGACCTCCAAACTTGAGCAAAATTGACATTTTCTTCAGTAATTTACATGAAATGTTGCGTCTTTTGTATCTAAAAAATAGACCTAACATTATAATAAGTGGCGATTTTAATATTGACCTACTAAAAGAGACTAGGCACTCCGTGACATTTAAACGGTTAGCAAAAGAATACAACATGAAATTTGCAGTAAACGCACCAACCCGCCCCAGTAGTGGCAGCTGTTTAGATAACATTGTTTACAACATGAGAGGCTGTAAAAGCGAGATTCTAGAACTAGGGGTATCCGATCACACTGCACAATTAATTAAATTTCCAATACAACAAACTTGTATTTTGAAGTTTTGGTACACACACAAACGCGATTACTGCAAGGAAAATAAGAATATATTTAGGAGATGTCTTAAAAATCTAAGTTTTTCTGAGGTCTATGAATGTAATACGGCTAATGAACGTTTTGATGCTTTTTTCGATTTATTTAAATTTTTTTACGACCTATGCTTCCCCATAGTAAAGCGCAAAATATCCACACTTGTTAGGCCGAGGTGGATAACCCGAGGTATTATATTGTGTAGTAAAAGAAGGCGAGACTTGCTTTGGAAACATAGACTAGCGAAAACTAGCGACACGAAACTAGCTTTTAAAACATACAATAAAAGATATAAAACTATATTAAAGCTGACTCAGAAGGCAAGAAATAGTTATTTCATTGCTAATAGTAAAAATAAATCCAAAGCTACGTGGAAAATAATAAATTCAATCAAAACAAATGTACCTAGGGATAGTATCAAGAAATTATTAATTAATGGTAAAGTGGTTACTCATCCAAAATTGATTGCAGAAAAATTTAATAATTATTATATAGACCAGGTAGATACCAATATAAATCTAAAGACATGTAATTATAAAAATATTTCCAATTTTAAATCATTTAAATCTATGTT